GCTCAGAAATCTGAGGTTGTTTCACAAGCACATCCTCTTGGAATTATTACAAAAGTTGTCATTGCAAGAATATATAGTTCTTTTTCCCAAAAAGTTTTACACAGTAGTTATAACAAATAATTAAATTCTACCTTTTAAAACGTGGATATTTCTACAAAGTACCCTTAACAAATATACCACAATTATATGTTATATGAGTAAAACTAATCAAATACATTTGTCTAAGGTCTGAATTTAATGATGCATTCCAATAATGTTTTGTAATGTTCATATATGTCCAGAGAGACATAGGATGTCCATAATCCTTATGTGACTCTAAATGATGTTTGAATCTTTCTGCCTTATACTTGCTTTATTAGAACAAAGTTGAATGTACTTAGAGTCTAGTCAGTAAACTCTGTGATGAGAAGAGGAAAGAGGCACCATTATCTTCTCTCAAGCTGAAACATGGGGAGACTTATTTTCCTGAGTAGTTCACATTGTTTTGATCAGCTAGAAAACATAGTTTGTTCTAGAGCACACTGAAATTTAGTGACAGAGGTGTAATGCAAGTTTCTAGTGCCCATCTCTAATTTAATGCTTATTGAGTGCTTGTAAAAAGATAAAGAAATGAATCACTAATTCAAAAACAGTGTTGATTATATTAATTCCCAGAATTTTAGATTATTTTAGTCTGTTCATGTCAAAACCATCAGGTGAATTTTTCCCTCCTGAACTGAGCCATCATGATGAAAATACAAAGTTCTATAAGGTAAGTTCAGGACCAACTTTTTTCTCTTCAACTTAGAATAAACATTTCAAGTCAGGAAAAAATTTAAGGCAGAAAAGATAAATCAGTGAGAACTGCTTGGCTTTAAATATCTCCTCTAAATTTTATTAAATTCATTATACATTTATCATTCAACTTGGGTTTGAAGTATCTGTTGGCTCATTTCTGTGTAGCCAAATAAAATGAAAATCAACCTCATTTTAAAGGCAGAAAAATTGTAACCAGATCTTTACCATAAAGATTTGTCATCTTTATGGTAAAATAACAAATCCATAAATATAAAAGGAAAATTAAATATAGGTATTCTTTATCACTGAGGAGTGTGACAATATTGACTTTCACTTACCTGACAATAGGGACATGTCAGTAACCTTTGGAAAGCTTAAATAATTGATATTAATTAGACAACTACTAAGATAGACCTAGTGTCTCACTAGTTGAAAAGGGGTCATTTTGTTCAAACCTTTACTCTCTTATGTCTCAAAGTTTGTTCAAGACAGGCTCACTTCTTCCTCAAAGCTCCAGGGAGTATAGTCTTTGGCAGTTAAGTCATGTAACAGGTCAAATTATGAAGATAACATTAAGAAAGAGTTATTCCTTCCAGATTTCTGTATGGTGTGTCCAGTTACTGACTATCAGATGGGATTTGTGTTTGTTGAGTGAAGACACAATGAACTATGATATTAAATGAAAGTCAAAATAACATTCCATCTTCAGCAGTTGTATGTGCCAGACAGCCTTTTAAGAGTTTCCGTTTTGTTATTTGGTTCTGGGGATCAACTAAGGCACATGCAAGGCAAGCACTCTAGCACTGTGCTATGTCTCCAGCATCTCAGGCAACCTTTTGAGTTGGTTACAATATCATCCCTAATTTACATGTGAGGTACAGAGAAGTTAAGTAATTTGCCCAATGTCACACAACTAGTAAGAGGCAGAGTTCTGGTACAAATTTAGTACATGTGGTTCCAAATCCCACACTCTTATTTTAGCACTAAAAAGGCTGTCTGTCTCTCAATTCTTATGTTAACAATTCTTTGAATTATACTTATGCATTCATGAGCAGGTGTTTTTTTAGCAGACTAGCTGAGTCTTACTATTGTGTCATAACTCATCAACCCTAGATTTTTAGGATCATGGTTTAGTTTATTTGTTCTATAAAAAAGTTGGAAATTAGTTAAGCTTTTAGCAGCACTTAAGCTTGAAGTCAGATAGGCAGATGCTCTACCACTTCAACCGCTCCACCAGCCGAGTTAAGCTTTTAATAGAAATGTAGATGGAAAGCTTCTATAAAGATGGTGCCTTATCTGGGAGGATATAATTGTTGAAAATATATTTAGTAATTTCAATTACAAAAATATTGGACCTTTATCTTTTTGGCTGCAAAGCTAATATAAATTAATAAGAGGTGCCTTTGATTCATTAGTATAAATTGAAAGGCAGTTTTTTTAGAGAAAGCAGGCTAACATTCTGTATTAATCAATTTCCTGAGTTTATCAGTTCTTAACAGGTTGTTGGTGGTGGTGATGGTTTTTTATGAAGTCTTTTGGATTTTCTATGTATGGATCTCATCATCTGCAAATAGGGCAGTTTTATCTCTTCATTTCCAGTTTGGATGTGTTTTGCTTTTTTTGTTGGCCTAATTTCACTGCTAGTACGTAAACTACTGTGTTGAATAGGATGGCAGAAGTGGGCATCCTTGCCTTGTAGATCTTAAAGGAAAAGCTTTCAGATTTTCAGCGCTGAATATGATGGCCTTTATTATGTTGAGGTAATTTCCTTCTCTTCTTAATTTGTTGACAGCTTTTATCATGAAAAAGTACTGAATTTTGTCAATTTTTTTTCCTGTATACATTGAGCCAATCATGTGTCTGCTGTCCTTTCTTCTGTTCAGGGACTGCATCACTCTAATTGATTTTTATAGGCTGAACTGTCCTTACATCTCAGGAATAAATCATGCTTCGTCATTATGGATGGTCCTTTAATGTGCTGTTGGTTTGCTAGTACTTTGTTGAGGAACTATGCATCTCTAATCATCAGGAATATGGCCTGTAATTCTCTTTCCTTGTGGTGTCTTTGTCTAGCTTTTGTATCAGTAGTAATGCTGGCCTCATAAAATGTGTTTGGAAGTATTCTTTCCTCTTCAATTTTTGAAAGACTTTGAAAAGAATTGATGTTAATTCTTTAAATGTTTGATGGAATTTACCAGTGAAACCATCTGGACTTGGGCTTTTTTTTGTTGTGAGGTTTTGATTACTGATTCAATCTCCACACTAGACACTCTTTGCCTCATCATTTAGTCTTGGAACAAATTATTTAGAACATTGTTGGAGAACATGTTGGAGTTGAGCATATTGTTTAGTTTTCTATTTCTCTCGTTTTGCAATTTTTAAATTAAATAAATAAAAACAACAAAGAACAGAACAGAAATACTGTATTATCTTCAATAAATGTTCCCTGAGGTAGGATTTAAATTATCAATGCAATATTATTTAGTAATTATTAAGACCATTAGCAGCTAAAACGGCTGCTCAGCTTCAAAGAAGAGGCATAATTTCAGTTGCCTGTGGGATTTCTAGAGCATTTCTAATACATTTGAAGGATCATCCAACCCCAGAAAAAATACTTCTTTGTGCTCAAATGTCTATATCTTCAGTTTGGCTGCAGAACATATCTAAGCTTTTTGATTGTTTCCTATCTGGAATCTCTCTCTCTCTCTCTGTTTTTTTTTTTTTTTGGCATATCTTGTTGGCATTACCCCTATAGAGAACTTCCTGGAAAGCAGTTAATTTTGTTGTGATTGGAAAATACTTTTGTATGGCGACTAGGTCATGCTTTATACCCAGAACATGTAATGGAGCTATGCACACTATAAAGGTATCCAGCTTTTAAATCCATGGCATACTATTCACTTGGGGTGTGTGTGTGTGTGTGTGTGTGTGTGTGCATGTGTGTGTTTCAGTGATGCAAAGTATACAAGTTGTGAGTAGGAGTATTTTACTTAATAGTCCAGTGATGTTGATTTTTGGCTAGAACTTGAAATAGCTGGGATAATATCAAGAAAAACAACTTTTATCAAAAAGCAAATTAGTTTTTGAAGCTGGTGTTAATTGGCAGCCAAGGTGTTTCATTATGAAGCTGAATTTTTAACAGTTGTTAGTTGGTTGCTATGAAAACACCAGTCAGAAGAAAACACTGCAGTGTTGAAGATGTGTTTCCCATCTCACCCCATCCCTCTGCTAATGTGTCAATAATGTGAGTCCTGCTTTACGCGCGTGCATGCTGCCTAGGAGCTGTGTCTGTGTTGGCCATAATGGGTTCAGGGATGATTACTTTCAAACCACAGGTATTTTTCTATTTTGCCATTTTCTGTGTTTGAATGAAACCCAAGACCTTATTGGGAGGACTGGTTTTCTTTGTCACCTACAACTAAAGGAAATCACAGCAAATATATAAGTTGTAGCTCCAGAGATTATTCTTTTGGATGAAGTGATGAGAAATCTGGTGGTTTGTCTCTATGTGTGGACATATCTACTGCTGATTTTTAAAGAAAAAAGCACCTGAAGTCCATGGGTACTGAAGTCCAGCTGTTCATTCCCTTCCCTAATAGTAAACAGTATGAAGAAGATTTCTGTCCACATAGAGCGCATCCCAGCCCTTGGGAGGATGTATGCTTTCATACTTTCCCCATTTAAACATTTTACTAGTTGGCTAGAAAAGAAAAAAAGAAGAAGAAATAGGAAAAAAAAAAATGTGTTTTCTCACTGAGTCCTTGACCTAGAGGTAACAAATTCTTGTATTGCCCTGTCTACAATCATTCTTTTAATCTCTGCTGTGGTCAGTGTCCAGTTTTATGGTGATGCATACTTTCTGTGGGTGATGTGGAAAACTGTTGGTTTAAATAATGTAACAATAGTTCCCCAGCTATATATCTTAATTATGTGATCAGAGTCTTATTTAAGCCTGTACTATTGATTCTAAGAAGCGAGCATGGCTGTATTTGTTGTACTTCAAACAAAACAAAACAGAGAAACAGGTTTTTCTCTTGCCTTGCAAAGTCTTAGCTGTGGTTGTTACTGAACAAATAATGAATGCTTCTGGTGCAGCATGTCACAGGGGAGGCTAGGACAATCAGCACACTGCTGATCCTTGCTTGCTGGGCGACATGTGCAGCTGAATTTATGACAGCTATTTGGGTTCACTAGAGATCTGCATTCTGTTTGTCCTCTCATAGGCAATGGTGGAGACAGTTAACAACCTCCTTCAGCCACAAGCTTTGAATGCTTGGAAAGACCTGACTACAAGTGATCAACTTCGTGCAGCCACCATGTTGCTCGACACCGTGGAAGAGAGTGCTTTTGTGCTGGCCGATAACCTTTTGAAGACTGACATTGTCAGGGAGAACACAGACAATATTCGTAAGTGTCCGGAGACCTTGCAGAGCAGAAAAAGGAAAAGAAAAATGTATATCTGGTGCCTCAGATATAAATGGTGCTTTTTTTCAATAGAGATGAGTTATTATCTTTCTAAAATTAGCAGACCATCACCTTTTAGCTTAACAAGATCAAAAATCATGTACATTAAACTCGTTGGGACATTCCAAAATGGAGTATATTACCCCGAGACCACTTACACATGAGGTCTATTTTTAAAATTTTATGTATGCCTTTATTTATTTATATTTTGTACTACTTGATATTTTGTCCTCTTAATACAGGCCTTGTTTGTCTTTTCAGTATGTTTGAATTATACGCTATAATAAATAAGTCATTTGAGTCAAGATGATAAAATAATGTTGGAAAATTGCATTATTTGGCTTATAAAGAGTGTACATGTTTTTATTGTGGATGAGGGTATAAATAATGAGTTCATTTCAGGAGATTTGACGAAAAGCTGTTTCAAATTTATTAGATTTAAAGATAGATTGATATTGATATGATAGTACAGCTCCAGATTATAAAAGGATTTAGATTTAATTCATAAAATACTTTGAAAATCAACTTCAAGTTAATGACAAAATATAAGGATTTGGCCTTGAATTTTATACTTTAGGTTTTATAATTGATATATTTGTATTGCATACATAATTTTGCAAGCTTTCGTTTGTTTTACCTTTAAATTTTATTTATGATTTATTTATTTATTTATTTATTTTTCTGGTGCTAAGGATTTATCCCAAGGCCTTGCACATGACAGGCACAGGCTCTTCCACTGAACCACATCCCCAGCCTAATGTGCTTTATTTAAAAAAAATTAAATGCTAGTGTTTTGAGAAATATTTCGGTGATATTGGACATCGTTCTACACTAATTCTGACATGTGTCTCAATGTGCATTGCTGTCTCTGTTTCTCACAGAACTAGAAGTTGCAAGGCTCAGCACAGAAGGAAACTTAGAAGACCTGAAATTTCCAGAAAATATGGGCCATGGAAGCACTATCCAGCTTTCTGCAAATACTTTGAAGCAAAATGGCAGAAATGGTAAATTAGAGCATTATTTTTTATGCTTGAGTATTGAACTTGTGTCAGTTCATTGTTTCTTGGTTTGGAATTTTAGATCCACCATCTAAGAGCTCTCCCTTTACCGTTCTCTTTCTCCTCCATTTCTTCCTCCTCGGATCTCCTGTACCAATAACATTACAATGGTATTCATTCTACAAAATTTTCTGTCAGATTTGGAAATTGTTCTGTTACTTTTCAGTTGTCAGAAACTTGAATATGAGGGAAATTAACAACACCAAAACCAAATATTCTTACTTTTTTTCCTCAAGAAAAGAAGTAACTCTCACTGACTTCACAGATTTATCTTGCCAAGTTTTCACTGGAAATTTTACTTGTCATTTTTTAAAACTACATGTTTTTTCTCTTTATTCAATATCATTTTGAAAGGATGTTTTGACTTTTCTTTCACAAAGCATCTAAAAAAGTTAAATATAAGTAGATGATTTTAAAAAATGGAACTGGTGTACATAGGTCAACTTAGCTTACTGCTAGATTGAATTCACTGAAAAAAATTAGAATTCAATAAATAAGTAATCTCATAGTGAAAGTACGTCTCAAGCTTCACAAATCTTAAAATTTTAAACCATATTTTTTTGCCAAAGCAGCAAGATCTTTGAACCTGGGAGATGATACGAAGATGACTTCAGGTCATAGCAAGTAACTTAAAGCTGTTGCTTCATGTTGCAGAATGAGTAGTTTTGAATAAAGAAGATCCTGTTAAACAGTATCAAGAAAATCAAATTATTTTTGCTGTCACTAAAATAAAATGCTTTATAAGTGTTAAGTAATCATTATGCTTTTAACTGAACTGAAGGAAGTTTTGAAGCAGCAATACAATTTCTTAGGCCTGTGTTCACTTCTTTACTGGTTTCTCTGCCTCTGCTCCTGCTGGCTAACAGTATTTTCTGTTGAAAAATGGTCCTTCCTGAAAACAGAAGTCTGACTAGGTCGCCTGTAATAGCACTCAGAATGAAATCGCATGACTTGACTATGCCCACCTCTTACTACTTGGTCCACTTCCTTCCTGTCTCTTTTGCCTCACCTCACAGCTGTCATTTGCATATTTTCTGGGATTCAAGCCAACTAGTCTTAATTCTGTTCCTCAGAAACACCATGTGTTTTTCTACAACTGGACTTTTTGTGTTTTCTTTTCTTTTCTTCTTGGAATGTGATTCTTATATTTCATTGCATGGCAGCCTGTATCATTCTCTTCGTAAAATAAATCTTAACCTCTTTAAGAAGAAACTTCCCCATAATGTCTAAAACAATCATTCCTTCCCAATCACTCTTTTCCCATTAGCCATTTTTATGCCAGTGCTTCTTCATAGTACTTATTCACTTGCCATTGTAAGAAATTGTGGCATTACTGTTTATAAACTGCCTGTTTATTATTTATTCTCTGACTGTCTTTCCAGGCAGTAAGTCCCACGAAAGCAGGAGCTTTGTCTAATGTATTCACTAATATGATCATAGTGCTTTATGGCAATGTATGCACAAGGTTCTATTGAATAAATGTATGAACTTTCAGATGCAAAGCTATTAAGTATTGAAATATGTCTATATTAGTTATAGAAAATTATGTGCTCATTTATTTGTTTACCAACATTAATATATAGTGTTTTCTTCTTAAATCACATTATATCATTAATTTTGGAGTGAAGAATCTGGAACAATTATATATGACTAAATGCACTGATAAAAGAAGGTGGGGTGGCAGCATGACACAAACCCACAAGTGGAAACTGGTATGAATTATTAGCCGATTATGAGCCAATTAAAATAAAATTGTTAATATCAACAAGAAAAATGCATGAATATTGTTAAATTTAGCCTTCCAAAATTCAGCATTTTTGTACCAAATCTGGAGAGATAAATTAAATGAACTCTGATGAAGCAGGGAGTATGTAGTGAAGTACTGTTATTTGCTCAGTGCTGTGATAACAACTATGGATGAGAAAAGAATGTCTTCTTTCTTTATGTCATCTTAATCTCTTCACTGGATAATTGAAAAGAAAATGGATGTCATGATATATTAGGCCGAGAAAACATTAGAACAGAAGGCTGACAGCAACCTGCAACATCGTATAAAATCTGCCATGAGATGTCACTGTGGTCAAGTGTCTCTGTATGCTGCTTTTGCTATTGCTACAGGACCTCTGACTTCCTTGTGTCACTAGCTCCTTAAGTCTGAGGCTCTGCATCTAGCAGGGGTACCTGGAAAAAACACTTGTGCATTTTGTGTGTATGAATCCCTGAGAGCAGGGGATTCCCAACCATGGGAACACAGTTTAGATGTTGGACAGTCATCCCTCTTCAAATATATATATTAAGTTTCTATTTTGTCTGTCTTCTCACTTGACTCAGTCTTCTTTGTATACTGGATTCCATGTTTCAAAGAAAGGGCAGTGACTGTCTCATCTTCATAATTACAGTAGTTAGGGTCGTACCTGTCTCTGGGTGAACTAATAAAGCTTTGTGTAGGAAAAGACATAAGGCTTGATTTTTTGTAAGAAAAGAAATGACACAATTAGAACATGATAAAAGAAGGTTAGCTTTTAAAAGGATTACATACAATTAAGATTACAATTGTTATAAAGGAAAAATAAGGGGAAAGGAGTTAGTGGCTGTGGTAATAGTGACCTTAAAAGAACGTGATAATTGAGTTTTGAGGTAGGTAAAAATTGGGTATCCTTATTTCTCTTTTAAACTGCAATTAAGATATAATTGATATAAAACAAACATATACACATGTAGTGTTTAGCTTAAGGAATTTGATGGTCATACAATCTTCAATAATATCACATAAAACAGAAAATAAATCTATCCTATTACCCAGGAATTTCTCTTGTGTCTCTTCCCATAATTTTTACCCCTTCTCTCCAACTAGTTAGACTTTCCCCTTATCATTATTTTCTTTCTTTTGTGGTTGTTGTTTCTGCTTTTGTGTGTGTGTGTGTGTGTGTGTGTGTGTTTGGTGGTACTGGGGTTTGAACTTGGGGTCTTGTACTTTCTAGGCAAGCTGTCTACCACTTGAGAAAATGCCTTCAGTCTTTCTGACTCTTATCTTTCAGATAAGGTCTTGGTTTTTACCCAGGGTGGGCCTTGGACTGCATATTACTACCTTTACCTCTTGTGTAGATGAGATTACAGGCACGAGCCACAGTGCTGGCCCTCAATAATATTTCTATAGATAAAATTTCCATGTTCTTAGACTTCAGATATCTGGAATCATATAATATATAACTTTTTCTGCCTGGAATCTGTAACTCAGCAAAATATTTTTGAGATGTACCATCTACTAATACTTTGATCTTTATTGATGCAGTAAATAGTATTCTATAACATTAATATGTTTTCATTTTTTTGTTCCTGTATTAAATCTGTTTCCAGTTTGAGGCTATTATGAACAAGGATTTTATAAATACTCTTATACAAGTTTTTTGTGGTTATATGTTTTTACTCATGTAGAAAGGATTGATGTCAATATGTGTTTAACTTTGAAAGAAATTGCCAAATATCTTTCCAAATAGTTGAACTATTTCACATGCCTACTTAGCAGTATACAAAAGTTCCAATTGTTCCAAAATTCTCATTCACATTGTGGTCATTCTTTTTTAGAGATCCTAGTAAATATGAAATGCTATTTTAATGTTTAGTTCCCTAATTACTAATATGTTGATCATGTTTTATACATCCCTGACTTTTCATTTGTCTTTTTTTCTAAAGCATGTTTGTATGCCTTTTCCATTTTAAGTGTTATCTATTACTTTATTATTGATTATTGTTTTATTATTGATTAGCATAAATGCTTTATATATTCAGTAGTCTTATTACTTTTTCCAAGTTTATGATTTGCTTATTTATTTTCTTGTTGATTTTTGGTTTTTTTGAGACAGGGTTTCTATGTATAGCTCAGGCTGGCCTCAAACTCATTATGTAGCCCTGGCTGGCCTCAAACTATCATCCTGCCTTAATCCCTCTAGTGCTAGAATTTCAAGTATCACCTACCTTGCCTTTCTTTAAGTTTGTTTTGTTTATTTGGGTGTTTTTTGTTGCCGTTTTTCTTGGTGGTTTTTTTTGGTTTGGTTTGGTTTTTTTTGGTGTTGGGAATTAAACCCAGGGCCTTGTGCATGCTAGGGAGTGCTCTACAAATGAAGCACACCCCTAGCTTAATGAAATTTATGGTTAGATTTGACATTTCAATTTTTAAAAAGTTCACTTTACCATTATGGTTAGTGTTTTTTGGGGTCCTATTTAAGCCCTCTTTCCCTTTCTCAGTGTACAAAGATATTATCCTATATTTCATTCTGGAACCTTTATGGTTCTGGATTTTATGTTTAGTTCTATAATACATCTCAAATTCAGTTTTGAGTATGGAATGAGGTCCGTTTTTTAAAATACTGATGTGCAGTTATAGCATCAGTTTGAGTTTTCTTTCTTTGCCAATGACCTGGCACTGTGGTGCCAAGCAAAGAAATGCTTGATTTTTGTGCATGTATGAAAGCATATTTTACAGATTTGATTACCACCTAATTAGAACTACTAATTTAAGTAGAATGTACAAATTAATCAGAATTTCTTTCCAATTTATTTCACATTTGCATTTATTTTAGGAGAAATAAGAGTAGCCTTTGTCTTATATAACAACCTGGGTCCTTATTTGTCCACGGAGAACGCCAGTATGAAGTTGGGAACAGAAGCAATGTCCACAAATCATTCTGTTATCGTCAATTCCCCTGTTATTACGGCAGCAATAAACAAAGAGTTCAGTAATAAGGTTTATTTGGCTGATCCTGTGGTGTTTACTGTTAAACATATCAAGGTAAGATAATGACACAGTAATTTTAATTGTCCACATTATTCATATCATTATAACATGAATATTAAATATATTAGTTTTCTTTAAATATTATTTCTATTATTTGACATATAGCAAATCATTATCCACAAAATATAGTAGTGATTTTTTTTTTTCAGAAATAAATAGAGTTGCTCTTGCCAAAAAGAAACAAAATGGGTAACTACATGAGATGACTGGTTAATTTTCTCCACATGGTAACATATTTACTATCTATATGTATCCCAAACACTATATATATACTTTAAATATATACAATACAATTTTTTTAAAAAGCTAGCAATAAATTAAATGGAGCTGGACAAGATTTCATATGTGGTATTACAAGTAATTATGTCTCTGTGTGAAGTCAGTTTTGCATATATGCAAAGATTACAGTTGTAAACTTAACAGAGATTTCTAAAGACCATTCTTTCAGATGTTAGTTCTTTCCAACAATTTACTTCTGCAGTTTGAGATGTTCACTGATGTGGTTCTGAAATTACTACTACATTCCTTCAATATGAATTAAGTTTTAAAAACCCAGTAAATTCACTTCTAATCAGATAGTGCAAACATAATACATTTAATTTTGCTTAGATTGATGAGACGCACTTAATATGGAAGCATTCGTAGACACCGCCACAAGAAGTAGAACAGTGTATAAGGTTGTGTTATGTGTAAAGAAAATGCCTAACTAATTTATGTGATCATAAAATAGTTACTACCTTTACTGATTTTTTTCCCCATTGTAGCAGTCCGAGGAAAATTTCAACCCTAACTGTTCATTTTGGAGCTATTCCAAGCGCACAATGACAGGTTATTGGTCAACACAAGGCTGTCGGCTCCTGACAACAAATAAGACACATACTACCTGCTCTTGTAACCACCTAACCAATTTTGCAGTACTGATGGCACATGTAGAAGTTAAGGTAAGATATATTCCACAAATAAAAATGTTTTAGCATTCAATTGGGTCACTAACTGTAAATAGTGTTAACTCCATAAACCAATCTCACTTTAGGATTTTTTCACTTTCATAGTAATTCTTTTCAAGAAGGAGGAACTCTTTTGGCCATATCCATTAATAAAGAGTCAAAGAACTGGTTCTTCTTTTCCTATTATCAAAATAGCTCACAAAATTGAAGTATAATTTCTCCAAATCTCCCTGGTTTTTTTTTTTGTACAAAAATATTAGAACCATAACCTCATGAAGGGTAAGGAAAATGCCAGGTCCAAAGGCTATTGGGGTGTGGGTGAGAAAGCTGGGTACTGGGTAAATTGAAGACTAAAGAGTTATGCATAAGATCAAATACTGTCAGACTGACTCTTGGAAAGCATTGATAATCAAAATACACAGAGTACCAGTACTGCCAGGTCTTGGAAAACTCTAACATGGGGAAAGAGTTCTGCCCGTTTGAGAAGACGCTACTCAAAGGAAAAAATCCAGGTGACAGGCAGTTTTTGCAGCAAGACACATGGCTAACTTGGCTGCCCATCAGTTTCTTCCTACCGTGGCACGGCTTTCATTCTATTAGAGGCTGTAGAGACTAGAGACCATAGGTTTTATATGGAAGAGAAAGCTGACTGGGTTTTAAGCATATCAGCCCTCATGGGAGAACTGTAAAGGGTAGAGATTCAGCACAATCCAAATTCCAGGAGTTCTAGGCCGGAAAAATCAGTGTTGGAAACTTCTGGTTTGTTCCTAAACAAGATACTCCAGGGATAACTGAGAAAACTAAAATCTTGCTTCCCTTATATTAACAATAGGTCAAACTAGGGCTGACTTGGGTCCATGTTCAGTCCAATCAGTAAATTGTGGTTGGAGAAAGCTAAATTACATAAATTATGTATCTTAAAAAATAAGTTTTTTTCTAAGTTTTCAAACAAGATGTCCAATGAAAAGAGTACATTTTTTCCTAAAGAGCGTCATAAACTAATGAATAATTGCATTTAAAAATCTTATAGTGTTCCTCAGATGTTTTATAATTAAGTATAATTTTAAAATATTAATCTCACAATTTGATACAAATTATTTTTTTTAGATTTATCTTTTGGTACTTTTCTTTGGAACAGTAAATCACTCAGGGCATGACATGTTATTAAAGCTTCATTCTCTTGGCATTTTCACACTTCTAATGCCTCTGTCATTAATTATTTGGGGTTCACTGATTGTAGAAAGGAAATGTACTTAAAGCTCTAGGACTAGCTTTGTCAATGACGTTTTATAATTTTTTCTTAGATAAGACAGAACAAAATAGTTACATTGCAATAAGGTAGAGGTAAGAGGAGTTTGCACAGTATACTATAGGAAATCATGTATACAAATCAAAAAAATATAGGAGATAGCATATGAGATGTGTATTAGGATTAATAAATCAGGCCTCAGCCAGGAAAGTTGTGAAGAACATTGAATTAGAGGCAGCAGTGTGAGCAAAAACACAAGATGTTATATCTCGTGGTGTATCGAGCAAGGTATGAAGAGTTTAGATTACTGCATCACACATACAACATGGCTGGTTAGCAATATAGATAGCTGAAGTCAGTAGGGACTGTGGCCATGACGACCTCATATAGAAAGTCACATGAGCTTAACATCTTTAGACTCAGACTAAGAGTTGGAATTGATGACCACATATCATACATCTCCCATATGTCTAAATATTTATAAATAATAAATAGAGCTGGCAAAAATATACCTTGATATAAGAAAGTATAGCTTTATAATGACTGAGAGGATATAAGATCTGAGTATAGAATTCTCAGAATCCCCAGAATTCTGCACCTGAACATGGTAGTGTGGGGCAAGTTTGCCTGTTCATGGTTTACTCTACCCCCTCAAAACTATAAAGTGCAGGTAAGTGTTCTTTTTCCAGGGTCTCAGAGTGAATCTTTGATGTTATTCTATAGGGAATTAAGAAACAGTTGTGGGATTACTAAACAATAATGGCACTGGCTTACTTTGCATTTTATATAGATAATTTCCAATACTATGTGGATGATAGATGTGGAAACTATTTGACCTATGTGACAGTTATTTTAATAGTCCCAGTAAAGGGTATTCAGCACCTAAACTGGGCTGCCGTAGTGGGCATAAGAGGATTTATATTCCATATATACTTATGACATAAAAATACAAAGGTCTTATTACCTTGGTTATAAAGATTGGTGGATGACTTAGCAAAAAGAAATTATATACTTCTGAATTCTCATCTCCTTGACATCCATAAAAATAGAGGAAGTATTAATGTTCACCACATTGTGCAAAGTGCAAGCTTGGCAAAGGTTTTATCTACGTTATGCCACTGATACAAATCATTTCACACGAAATCATCTTTGACTACAATTTAGAAAGAAATGGCATAGGTATCCCAGAAGGAGACCACATCCACACCCAGCTAGCAACACAAAAGTTAAATTACCTTAGCTGTGTCAGCACTGTTCAAATTTTGATCTTCAAAGGACTACAAAGCCTGTTTTGTCAAAGCATCACAAATTGATCTACTTTAGCATGATTGACTACATTGACAAATGATAGGTTTAAATCTGGAAAGTGTTAGGCTCTGGGATCCTACATTTCAACCAGCCTACTGAATAAATTCAGAAAAATGAATCAAACTTGAGGCAGCAACAAAGTATCATTTTTTTTTCTCAGTTTATTGCCTAACAACCTCTCTCCAATCATTATATAAGAATCATGACTGTGATGACTATTGTGTGTCAATAAGAGATAAAATAAATAAAAATCAATATTTTCCTTTAGCAGTTAATTACAGAGTATGTGTATCTTGGGTTTCTTGTGTCACTGTCTCTTGGGATTTTGATCCCATAACATGTGCTTGGCACTTCAATGATCAAAGAACAGAAAATGAGGAGACCAATCATCACTAGAAATCTAAAAAGAAATACACTAACTAAATTTGCATTAGACTAATGTTAAAATAGAACACTAATTTATTCATACACAATGAAAAATGCATCAGCCATTTGGAACAGATATATTTATATCTGCTAGTTGTCACTTTCTAACTCTACAGGAAGATCAATAAAGGAAACAAAATTATACTGGAGAATTTTACTTAACAAATGTGGAAAGAGATGAGGAAGAGTTAGCTGAATAATCTTGATAGCTATTGACATTAAACAGTGGTACCCTGTTGCATCTACCTGTGCCCTGAACTGCTCTTGCCACCTATTTAACTATCTATATCTATCTATCTATCTATCTATCTATCTATCTATCTTATCTATCATCTATCTATCTATCTCTATCACCTATCTATCTATATGTCATCTGTCGTCTATCTGTCCATCCATATCGTATCATTGGGATGTGTTATCTCTTCTTTACAATCAACACTTTCTTTATTCTTTTTTCCTTTTTGGTGATACTAGGGTTTGGACTCAGGCTTTCCGCTTGCTAGGTAGGCACTGTATTGCTTGAGCCATGCCTCAAGCCCTTTTTGCTGTGGTTATTTTTGAGATAGAGTCCTGCTTTTTGTCCAGGCAGTCAGGAGAGTAATCCTTCTATTTTTTGCTTCCTGCCTTAGTTGGAATGACAGGCATGCGCCACCATACCCAGCTTTTAATCCATTGAGATGGGGTCTCTCAAAGTTTTTTGCTTAGTCTGGCCTGTAACTATGATCCTCCAAATCTCAGCTTCCCACATAGCTGGGATGACAGGTGCATACCACCGTACCAAGCTATTGGTTGAGATGGGGTCCCCCAAAGGTTTTTTTTTTTTTTTTGACTTTTGTAACCCTGTTTAAGATTATTATTTTTTTTTTCCTTTTTCTTTTATTATTCATATGTGCATACAAGGCTTGGTTCATTTCTCCCCCATGCCCCCACCCCCTCCTTACCACCCACTCCGCCCCCTCCCCGCCTCCCCCTCAATACCCAGCAGAAACTATTTTGCCCTTATTTCTAATTTTGTTGTAGAGAGTATAAGCAATAATAGGAAGGAACAAGGGTTTTTGCTGGTTGAGATAAGGATACCTTACAGGGAGTTGACTCACTGATTTTCCTGTGCGTGGGTGTTAACTTCTAGGTTAATTTCTTTTTTGATCTAACCTTTTCTCTAGTAACCTGTTCCCCTTTTCCTATGGCCTCAGTTGCTTTTAAGGTATCTGCTTTAGTTTTCTCTGCGTTAAGGGCAACAAATGCTATATTTAGGTGTCTTACCTATCCTCACCCCTCCTTGTGTGCTCTCGCTTTTATCATGTGCTCATAGTCCAATCCCCTTGTTGTGTTTGCCCTTGATCTAATGTCCACATATGAGGGAGAACATACGATTTTTGGTCTTTTGGGCCAGGCTAACCTCACTCAGAATGATGTTCTCCAATTCCATCCATTTACCAGCGAATGATAACATTTCGTTCTTCTTCATGGCTGCATAAAATTCCATTGTGTATAGATACCACATTTTCTTAATCCATTCGTCAGTGGTGGGGCATCTTGGCTGTTTCCATAACTTGGCTATTGTGAATAGTGCGCAATAAACATGGGTGTGCAGGTGCCTCTGGAGTAACCTGTGTCACAGTCTTTTGGGTATATCCCCAAGAGTGGTATTGCTGGATCAAATGGTAGATCGATGTCAGCTTTTTAAGTAGCCTCCAAATTTTTTTCCAGAGTGGTTGTACTAGTCTACATTCCCACCAACAGTGTAAGAGGGTTCCTTTTTCCCCGCATCCTCGCCAACACCTGTTGTGGTGGTGTTGCTGATGATGGCTATTCTAACAGGGTGAGGTGGAATCTTAGTGTGGTTTTAATTTGCATTTCCTTTATTGCTAGAGATGGTGAGCATTTTTTCATGTGTTTTCTGGCCATTTGAATTTCTTCTTTTGAGAAAGTTCTGTTTAGTTCACTTGCCCATTTCTTTATTGGTTCATTAGTTTTGGGAGAATTTAGTTTTTTAAGTTCCCTATATATT